GATCACTTGGGTTGTTACCAACATCTGGTGAAAATTTCATGTCATTAGCACCTCTAGTAATATATTTACTGAGAAAAATGGTGACGTGTTCAATACTTATTTTACCCGCTGTACACACAGGCTTGGACCCCGGTCATAACTGCTTCGCAGTTCTAGCTATAATTTTTGACCATTATCGTCAGAAGTGTTATTCTAGAGTTTTCTACTCTGTGACTTTTTCACTTCTTAAAACAATCCATTTGAAGCCTCTATCCAGGTTCTAACCAATTTACCAGGTGAAATATTAAAGGAATCAACCAACCTATCAACCGTAGTAGAATATTTACACACTTAAATCTCTGAGATCAGATAACGAGAGACTCACCTGCGTCCTAGCAAACACTCACAACTGAGTAGAAATTGGATTGGGTAGATATTCTCTTCTAAGTATGAGCACAGATCCAGAGGCACAGCCATATTGATCAGAAAAGTTTTGTTGCAACATTGCTAATGATAATGGTAGATTTGTGATTGTTGCCAGCAAACTCCTCCGCTTACAAATTGTCTTAGCCAGTGTTTATGGTCTGAACTGGGACAACCCACAGTTCTCCCACTTTATAGCTAAACTACCTGACCTCCTTTCCCACCATCCGACCTCGGAAAGAGACTGTGTGTATCTACGGACGTTGTGACACAAATAATCATTGACTAATTGAAAATATAATCACAGATTAGTCATTAGTTGCAGCCCTAATTTAGGTTAAAACTAGTGCTAGTCATAGATTTTTAATTTCAAATTTTAATTGCGATAATCTCCAAGATATAATTTTTTTTAGAAACGATCACTCTATAGCTGAATGTGTAGGTTTGTGTGTGATCATGGTGAACCAAAAAAAGATAAAAAAGTTGCCATGCAACGGCTCTACAACAAGTGCTCTTATTGGATGAGACCTGCGACAAAACGCCATCTAAAGCCAATCGTGATCAAGATCCCACTTCCTCACGTAACCACTGGGTTTGTGTGTCTGTGCATTGTCAGTCCAGTGAACAGAGATCTGATGGAAATATAAAGAAATAAATACCTGCGTTAACGTGTGCCTAGTCTGGTAAAAATCTGATTCTTGTTCTTCACTTTGCTTCGTACAGAGGATCTGGACTTGCTGCTACTGAGAAGTGATTCTTGAAGGCGTGGCCTCTGCTGAAGTTTAAAATGATTGGATCGGTTGGCCGCAACGTATGTCGATGTGAAGGAGGCTAAGCTAAGAAGTTAACTGGAAATCGCATTCGCTGTAAACAACCCTACTGAGAGGAGAAAAGTACCGAGCTGAAAGAGACGACAGTAAATGAGAGCTGCTGCTTTGTCAGACAAATTTATTTTAATTTGAAGCCTTATCAACACAGACTGGCTTCATTCACTTCCTCCACTGCCGTATGCTAAAATAACTAGCAGACACTGCGCAGAAAGTCAACGTCATTCAAAACTCCGCCTTCTGTTCTCTGATTGGTCCAGGTAAAATAAACTACAAGCAGACACTGCGTTGAAAATCAACGTTCTGTTCTCTGATTGGTCCGAAGGAAAATTCTCCTGAAGAAATCCTTGTCTATGGGAGAAGTCCCAGACGGAGCAGAGAAGGGAAACTAGAACTGAGCGGAGCTGCGTAGGAAGGCAAGGGCCAGGCTAAAGTGCTCGACACACGGGAGGCGACGTCGCTCGCTCTCCATTCATTTCCTATGGAGCCTGTGCGGTGAGGCGACAATCGCTTGCCCTCCTCCAACTAAGCGACCGGCGAAAATAGTGCATGTGAAATTTCGCGCTCGTACACGTAGACGTGCACACGCGAGCTTGCGACGCGACATATGAAAGTTGAAAAATGTTCAACTTTTGTCGCTGTTGCTTAGCGTACAACCAATCAGCRAGGGTTTCATTGACTGACCAATGAGAGGAGAGTATGCTACACACTGCAGTTAGCTAACACTTTCACCAAGTGATTGCTAAAAATGGCCGCTTTGTGGGAATTTGTTGGCGCCTGGGTGAAGTTATTCAGTAAGTTTTTCCTTAAACTGTATCTTGATGTGTGTTTGTTTTTCAATATCATTAGCATCGCAAGATTTGTTTAGTTTACCGTCCGTAACGCACAATCCACACCCCCCTTCAGAGTCAAGAGCCAATCAAATTTTGTGAAGACAAGCGACCTGAGAGCGCGATTCGCAATGCTGCTATCACTATCGCGTCGGGTTTCACCTTGGCTGCGAGGACAGCTGTTAATCACTGTAGTTTGTCGCTGCCCGTGTGTCGAACCCTTTACACATGCCCAGTACGACTAAAAACATAAAAAGCTATGTATGCTTTAGGTTCTGACAAACACAAACAGTAAATAATTTGAATTAATATAGAACATTTTTTACACTTTAAGTGTAAAATAAACTACTTCCATCTTTAATATGTAATAAAAATATTGTGGTCTCAGAAGCTTTGATTTTTTTTAATTCTTATTTTTGTCTCATGCAATGAACTAGGGAGTGAAGTAGGGGTGTAAGAAAATATCGATACACTGAAATATCGCGATATTTCATTTCCCGATACTGTATCAATATTCTAAAGCCCTGTATTGATTTTTAATTAAGCTTTAAAATGTCAACCTTCTTGCCAACCGTTCATTTTTATGTTGTAGTTCAGCCTCTGACCACTAGTTGGCAGCAGTGAGCCAGCCATTTGGCTCCTCTACCTCTTGAGTGCCAGAGAGTAAGGGTAGCATTAGCATTGTAAGTAAACATTAGCTGTTGTTTTTTTTTCAGTAAGAGGTTTTTATTTAATAGAATTTTTGGAAAAAAATCGCAATATATCGCCTTGCTTACAGTATCGAAATATTTCGGGATATATCGTATCATGACCCCTCTGTTATGATATGTATCGTATCGCCAAATTCTTGCCAATACACAGCCCTAGAGTGAAGTTTGGAAACACAACCTCCCTCCCCCAGTTTAGTAGGAAAACTGACAGATTTGAATTAAACAAGTCTTTTGTTTTAGAAAAAAAAATTGGTACAACAAACCTCGAATCCAAAAACCAGCTGAACAGAAGCTCCTCGATTAATGATGCTGTGACAGGCATGGTTGACAAACAAGAAGTCCATGACTGCCAGCAGTCCAAGAAGAGCTGCAGAAACACAAAGTACAACAGCATGGGTTTGTTTAAGGTGGACAATCATCAAAGACAGATAATAAGCATCACATTTCCTGAAGGATCAGGACCTCAAAACTTGATCTAAATTGTTTCTGATAAAGTATACCAGCACATTTCAAAGAGCAGTGAAGAAGTTTCATTTGTTTGAATGTCTAATCTGAGTTGTTAGCGTTTCCCACAGGAATAAAGTGTTCAGCACCTTTCTTCATCAGAACAGAAACATCTGCACCCAGTTTCAGTTTCACTGACGAGTGCAACCAGTAAAAACGACAGAAACGAAGAGAAGTGAAAGACAAATGGAAATGCCCACGCAAACGTGCTGGAAAACAAAAAACTAAACCTTTTGATTAGATTAAAAGATTGACTTACATAAAACTCTTAAATGGAAAACCCAGGATATATTTGGACTCCGCTCCATCTGAAAAAGAAAAAAAAACTTTAAAAATCAAAAAATAAATACTACTTTTCATCCATTTTTATATCCTTCATGTACATCTTAAATCAGTCTACTGTTTTTCAGGTGTGTTCCTAGTTGTTCTCATCACTCACAAAGTCCACCCGATCCTCGGCCAGCCAGTGGAAGCACTTCAGGAACAGCAGGAGGGTGAAGAGGGCAACGAAACGAGGGGAGAAATCATCTCTGAACACAGTGAAGGCCAGACACGTCTCTGTTACAGCATACCAGGAGCGCTCAATGAGATGCTGAAGGATGTGGGACAGGTGCACACCAACAATAAGTTCAGACTTTTTACCTCCAAACATCAACAATGTGGCAGATTTATCTGAAAGACGTACCTCCATTTCAGCAGCTCTCAACTGCCCAAAAAACACTTTTCTCATAAACTTTCCCAAAAGAAACACCAGAACAAACGCCTGAATGTACAGCACCTGAGAGCAGACCAACAGTTTCCATTACGCCACAGTTAAAGATGAACACCACAGGTGGAAGACTGCAGCGGTCTTACCGCCATGCTGGGGCTGCTCTTAGTCAGGTACACCACCGTTGGGTAGAACTGGTGTTTGAGCAGGTATGCGTGAGCCACCACAGCTCCAGTCAGAGCCAGGCTGGTGGCAGTCACCAAGGCTGCTCGCACCATCGTGGCTTCAGATGCAGAGGCTGCTGAAGGAAACAGGTGAAAGGAAAGAGGAACAAGTGGAGGTCTGACATGTGGCACATGTAAATACAGAGAAGACCTTAATTAAAAAAAAAAGTGATAATCTTTTCAGATTTGTTCATGTTCATACATGCTATGTGCAACACACATATTCTAGAATACATGTATATCATAACCACTACTATCACCGGTGAAATACCATATGTACAGTCATATGAAAAATTTTAGGCAGCCTTGTTAATTTTCCTGATTTTCCTTTATAAATCATTTATTGTTTGGATTAAACATATCAGTTAAATATATCATATAGGGGACAAACACAGTGATATTTGAGAAATGAAATGAAGTTTATATGATTTACAGAAAGTGTGCAATAATTGTTTAAACAAAATTAGGCAGGTGCATAAATTTGGGCATCGTTGCCGTTTTATTGATTTCTAAACCTTTAGAACTAATTATTGGAACTTAAATTTGCTTTGGTGAGTTCAGTGACCCAATTATGAG